AAATTAATAAATTAATAAATTAATAAATAATGTTTCCCACAAAAAGTGCACAATAAACAGTCAGCAATAATCAGTTACTGTCATTGAAATGTATTTGAATCAGACCAACAGCCCAGTTATTGTCATTTCCCTAATAAAAGAAATCAATTTAAGCCATGTCAGCAAGTTCCATCAATTTCACCGGCCATTTCTCCCCTGTGGGTAGTACTAAATCTTTCCATCTTTGTACATAAAACAATCTTGCTGCAGCTATTGTAAAATTCAGTGACCTTTTTCCCAACTGCCTGATCATCAGTCCCAAAAGATTGAGCTTTGGCCTTAATTGTATATTAAACTTTTAAAATCCCCTGAATCAGCCTATATATTTGAATCCAAAATTTTCTAGCTTTACACCACATCCACTAAGCATGATAAAATTCCCCTTCTCCTTGTTCAGGCGCATTTGAAATGCTCCAATTTTTTACTTGTAATTAATATTTCCCATGACAACTGATAATGACCAAACCCTCTATCCATCACAAGCAGCAGTGCAGAAACGGAGTTGATCTAATCAGCTGGTGGTTACTGATAGCTTCCTGGTAATGGCTAATCTCTTTCTAGAAATTGATAGATTCTTAACATTGTGACTTCCCTGACACAGCAAGTTCAGCAATTCCAACTTCTGAAAACACGACAGTCAAGGGCTGCAGTTATCATAATTCAACCTTGACATTTCTAGCAGAATTTGCTGTTCCAGAAGCTCTGAATGTGGAAGATTTAATCCCATCCCCTTTCCTATCACATAGTTCAAGAGTATTCTTATTTGTATCTTGACATTTCTTTTGTTTTCATTCTCCTTCCAGCAATTTCTACTTTCATTTCCTCTTATAAGAGTTTCCCACTCTTCTGCCCCTCCTTTCCATTCCTCTTCTCTTGTTATGATTATTAACTATTCCTAATTGGCCACTTCTGGTCATTTTGCATCATAGGAGGGCGACCCTCCTTTCTTTGTCCTCTGAATCATGTTACCTTTAGTCATATTTTTTTCCAATTCTACACTTGCTACTCCCAAGCTCCTTTTATTGGGGGGAAGAGGTTGTCCAGCTGTCTAAACTCATCACACAGAAGAAGCCCTGAGTCACAGCCCTTTTCCTCCTGCACCATAATCTGTACAGACACTCTGTGTAGCTATGATATCTTTTTCTTCTCCTCTCTTCTCTCTCATCATACCCCCAATCATACCTTCTTTACAGATGATCTCCTATTAAAACAACATATGAATTAAGCAGTGAGCAGGCCTCCCTGAACAAGGAATAAAGCTTCAGGCAGCCTGGAATCCAACCAACCTGGCTGCCCTATTGGTGCAGGGGGTCCCCATGTTCCCCAAGGAACAAGTCTGGCCTCTTTTACTCAAACAAGCCACCACTGGGCTCCTTGGCTCACATTTAAGTTGTCAACACTGAGAACACTCACCCACAAGATGTACTCAGGCTTATCAGAGCCAATTAATTTCCATTAAGCTTGTAGATTCTTTAGGCGATTTGAGCAGTTTTTCTTCAAGGAAAGCTACGACTACAGATAACTTTCCAGTTACAATCATTCATTCAGTGAGCGTGCCAAGTTATGGTGGCCCTGAACAAAGGGGACTTAGGCCCAGTCTCTGAAGTTATGACTGCTGTAGTGCCCCTCTCGTCCACATGATCAGAATTTGGGCACCATGCAGCCCCCCCTACCACAGGGGTGCTTCAACTCCGCCATCTGCCTGTTTCCACCCCATCTCTGCTCCTTCCGGCTGCCCTGCACAGCGCCAATCCTCGATGGCAACAGCACTGGGGTTGAA